TTATTTAAATACAGTGAAGATTGACCAACAATCTTAAGACAGATTAATTTTTGGTGTCTTCATTGTATTTGATTTTTTGTGTTTTCACAAAAGTGATATTCTGGTTAGAAAACAAATAGTAGTAATATACTGTTTGACAGATACTACTAATATACTGTCTTTTTTCTTTGACAACTAGCGGTAATATACTGGTGTCAATAATTGTAGAATATTAATTGGTGTTATAGAAAATTATTGTAGTATTTTATTTTTCTAGTTTTAGTAACAAGGAAAATAAAATTATTTTGTATTATAATTTATTTTCTGGTTTTAGCAACTAGAAAATTAATTTGTGTTTTGGTTTTTTTGATTTTTGTAATAAGATATTATGGCTACTGCAACTGCAACTGGAAGTGGTACTCCAATTGTTACACAAACTCCGGTTCCTATCCAGAACCATGTTCAAGTTCCAATAAATCATGGAGAAAAATCAAAAAAATTTAACGATACTGAGTTTAAGAGATGGCAGCAGAAAATGTTATTATATCTTACAACTCTAAATTTGGTCCGGTTTCTCCATAAAGAGTCTCCAGTACTAAGAGAGGATGAAAGTGATCGGCAAGTTGTTGCCGCTGTAGATGGAAACATTCAAATTTCTTGTGTAGAAACTACATCCTCAATGGCTTTGACAACATGCTGTATAATGTTTACAACCCTCTAAAATCAGCAAAAGAATTGTGGGATTCTTTGGAGAAGAAATACAAGACAAAGAATGCCGGCATGAAGAAATTTGTTATCGATAAATTTCTAGACTTCGTTATGATAGACTCCCAATCGGTAATTTCTCAAGTTCAAAATTTCTAAATAATTTTGCATGATATTCATTTTGAAGGTATGTCTCTTAGCGAGTCTTTCCAAATCACTGCTTTAGTGGAAAAGTTACCACTGACTTGGAAAGATTTCAAAAATTATTTAAAACATAAACGTAAGTAGATGACCATGGATGAGTTAATTGTAAGATTGAGAATTGAGGAAGATAACCGAAAGGCTGAAAAAAGGAATGAGAAAAATCCCATTGAGTCTAAGGCTAATGTGGTTGAACAAGTTCACAAACCACATAACAAAAAGAGGAAGTTTACTGGAGATGGTCCTAAACAAGACGACAACAATGGCGACAAGAAATTTAAAGGAAAATGCTATAACTATGGCAAGACTGGACATCGAGCTTCTGATTGCCGCTGCCCTAAGAAGGATCGCGGAAGTACAAGCAAGAAGACCACTCACTACAACAAGTTGGGTCTTGGATGACGAATTTTTTTTGTCTCCAAAGAGCTAATTTCGTCACTATAGATATTTGTGAGGAAATATTTTCGTCACCAGGTTCGTCATTGAATGTTTGTCACTAAAAAGCATCGTGACGAAAAATAATTTCGTCACCAATGAAATTACTTCAGTGACGAAACTTTTTGTCACTAATAAAACAACATTTTGTCGCCAAAAATTTTCATTTTCGTCACCAAATAGTTATTCAATACCATATTTATAACTTTAGTTGACGAATAAATTTGTCACGTATGTTGATCATTGATGAGGAAATAATTTCGTCACAATAAGATGTAAAGGTGACGAAATTTTTCGTCTTCAAAAGTCATACATGGGTGACGAAATATTTTTCGTCACAAATATATATATACGTGACGAAATTTTTAGTCACCAAACAACAAAATAAATAAAAATTTCCATATATAAACTACAGTAAATTTTGTCACAAAAAAAGTTTATTAGTGACGAATAATCACTTTGTCATAATAACAAGCACAAATGACGAAACAAATTCGTCACTAAACTTGTTCCATATTTTATATACAATTTAAATTATTATTTCACAAATATCCTTGCTTATATCCCAGTAGCATTTTAATTGTACTAAGAAATCCACTAGCTATTATACATCAATCCACAAAAAAATTCACTAAACAATTTATATTATAAATCAAAATATATCCATCAAACAACTTTAATAATAATCCATTAAGTATCACAAAAAAACCATCAAAACAAATTCCAAAAATCAACTAGCGTGGAGTCCAAAAAAAATCAACACTCAATCTTAATTTGCAACTACAACTAAGCATCAGTTTAGGAAAAAAAAATTCAACTGTTGATCTTCATTTGCAGGTATGCTTCCGAACATCATCAAAACCAATCTACAAAGAAAATAAACAAGGCAAACATTAGCATAGAATGTATATATATAAAGTTTATTATAATAGCAAAGTTTTATTATAAACGTAAAGCCAAATATCAGAATGTTAACAAATATACAGAACTGTTGTCAAGATCACAAGCTTGAAGTTATCTGAATAGAAATTAACAGAGATTAACTAAAAAGATGAATACCATGCTCATTCCCACCCATGGGCTTTGCAATGATCACCTTAACATGGAAATTCACTGTATCCCCAGAATTATGCTCGGATCAAAAATTGGGTGTGACCCACGGACAGTAGCCAAACCAATTATAACACTACAACATCTCATGGTAAGAAACCAGGGCATGCAGTCAATGAGAATGGGAAGGAACAAATATTGTGGCTGCTGCACAAATGGGATTTAAAAAAATTTTGAAGAGAGAGAGCAACAACCTACAATGCAAAAAATGGATAACTAGACCAGTAGCTTGGTGAGTTGTGACAACAATGACCAAAATGGATGCAGATAATAAGCTTATTATTTTTAACATCTATACTATTATTAAAAGGGAACATGAACTTTGGTGTCTTGAAGCCATTCCTAAAAAACTTTTCTTAATTTTCCCTAAAATGACCTTAACTTCTTACACTTACATCAATTTTAATTAGGGTAAAAATGATAAATTCAAACACTAATTCCACCTCCCACCTCTCACTCTCCACACGTCTGAAGCAGTTAACAACATGTTCTTTCGATTTCATTTTGCATCTTCCTTGGTATTCTTCACAATTTCAAACAGTAACCTGGCTTTTCCAAACTCTTTCTTGCAATCGACGATTCAGAAACTAGGGATGATAACCAATCTTGATTTGATTTGTTTTTTGCGAACACGTTGATTCGTTATATGTTCAACTCAAAGGTATCTTCTATATCTATCTTCTATTAGTTTTCCTTTGAATCCTCTTTATTTATTCAAAGTTTGAGAGAGAAGGTAAGAATCAAGGCTTTTGCTCTTTTTTCCTTTTTCTTTCAGATACATGGTTGAGAACAGTTTAAAATGTTCAATTTTTAGTGTTTAGTAGATACATAGATATATATATATATATATATATGCATGATCATTCAGTGCTGGTAAAAGAAACAAAATCATTCGGTAGCTTATAATAAGATAAAAGAATTTTGGGTTAAAATCATTCGGTGGCGTGTAATAGTGCCAAATTATTCAAAGAAGCTTGCAAAATATGAATTAAGAACCTAAAAATTAATTTAATGAAAATACAAAAACACTACCTTTTTTTTCCCCAAAAATACACACGAAATTAAGAACACTGAATTTATTTAATTATTTTTCAAAACACACACACAATGAAACTTTTTAATGAAGAAAAAAAATACATAATAGTGTTCTCACAAAAGTAAACAAACAAACAAAACAAATTATAAAAAAGCTGAATTTATACACAAAAATAAACAATAGCTTTAAAAGTGAAAGAGGAAAAAATCCAAAACTATTTTAGTCTCTAAAAAATTGCACATAGGTGTCAAATTGTTTATTTAAAAACCTAAAAATTAAGAACGATACAACCAGACCAGCAGCCTAGTAGATCTGTCCACTCACACAGCATACAGATACAACCAGCAAAGCAGAATGATACCAAACAGCAGAGCATACAGCAGAGAATACAGATACCAACAGTAGAGCAAACAGCAGAGCATACAGATACCAACAGCAGAGCATACAGATACTTGTGACTTAGGCTATACAGATACCAACATCCACATATACAAGCACACTTAACAGCAGGCTATTTTCTGATTTAGTTTTGTCTCTACTTTGGTTAGTGTGTGTTTTAACTAGAGTCATGCTAAGTAAGAATTTTGAAAATGAATCTATTTGGATTAAAAGCATCTTCAAACTTGTTAAATCTTAGTTAATAAGTAGTCAAACTGTTGTACTTTAACTAGTATATACTAACCAACATAAGAAAAATAAAATGATAAAACGAGCGAGACTTACCAAAAGGCGATGTACGAGTTCATGGGATACCTCATCCTCTAAATTGTCCTTTGAAACCTTGCTTCTTAAGAAACTCCATGATGCTTGATGTGATCTCAAAATGCTCGTCAATCGACCTATTCATCTTCCCTATCTCTTTATTTTGTGCTTGAATTTCCTCTTTTTGTACTTGAATTTCATGTTTCTGTGCTGTAATTTCCTCTTTATGTGACTGAATTTCCTCTTTTTGTGACTGAATTTCCTCCTTTTGCTCTTGTATTTCCATCTCTAGACGCCTCACATAGTCACTGTCAGTCGAAGCACTGGTAGTCCTGACAGAGAAGGAACGCCTCAACCCGAGTCCTTTAACATATCCCGACCTTGGCTTTAGCACCTCACAGATAGCTCCCTCCGGGTAATTGGAACCACACCAGGTCGGGACAATGTTCAGCTTTGGATCTTTATTCATATTATCCTGTCATTTAAAAAAAAATGAGAAAAATGAATAAAGATACAATTAAAATCTGCAATCATCCCTAATACAAAAGGTAAATACATACATAATTCTCTTCGCACTCCGGAGATATCCACTGCTTTGTGACATCATTAAGTGGTGTAGATTTGTTAAACACATGGCAACGTCTGGCAGTTGGCCCCCATTTGCAATTGTCTGATTTTTTTTGTTCAACTAGGTAAGTTTAAATAAGAAATGATGGTAGTAGAATCATCTTTAAAAAAAAAGGGGAAAAAAATTAAAAGAAGACCCACCGCCTCGTGTAGCCTAACTGGGAGAGATTTATGACCCACACCTATGCTTCATCTTCAATGATTTCTATTGCCAAGTGTTAGCATTTGATTGCTTCTACAAGGAGCAAGTTCCAATAGAAAAATATTACATATATGAAGACAAGGTAATTGTCAACAATAAATAAACATAAGAAAAGTTTACCAGCCAATTGGTATCATTCCACTTCTTGTCAATCAAGTTTTTCCATTTCTCGAGGTCATATTCAGGCGGTGGGTGGCTTCTAGCATACTCCTCTCCCTTAGCACTTTTAAGGTTTAGGTATTTTTTTCGTAGTCTGTAGGTGTAGCTGCTCAAGCTTCGTCCACACTTTGTTGCCACCGCTTTGCTAACATTTGTGGAGTCACCTTCCATGTCAAATTGATCCTAGCAACAGGCACAAATCTTGTAAGTCATAATTAATTATATTACATTAATTCAATCAATTATGTAAAACTTTTACCGTTAGACGCTGAAACATAGGTGCCGTAACTTCTTCGTTGACATGTTTCCACCTGCGAATGCTAAAGTCTGGCAAGTGTGTTCGGACCTCAACACCAATTTTGGAGACTAATTGAGAGGCATGATCCCCCACTGGTGCACGATACTCCTGTGGTATGGGAACTTTGAGCTTTCCATCTTTTTGAACCATTGCTTGAACCTTCAACCCGCGTGTCAAGCCACGAGGGTGTCTACTACGCACTGTTTTAAAGACATAACATTGACTGGTTAGCAATTAATTAAAGCGAAATCATAAAAGCAATATAAGTAACTTTTTTTTTTTAGCAAGTCATAAAATAAAATGATGACATATAGAGATATACGAGGGGCATTCCTCAGGCCTTACAACACCAAACAAAAAAAAACTAGAGCTGTAAAAGAGAAACAAAACCAAACAGATAAACTAAACTAAATAAACTATAAAGAGAATCATCCTAAAATAAACCACACAAAAGAATGTTCGTTTGCCACATGAGGGAAAAAGGGCTATGAACATTCAATAGACTAGCCAAAAACAATACAAAATACACTTGCACAACCCTCGAGAGAAAAAGAAAGCAAAACTAGAAAATAAACCCAAGAAAAGCCCTGCACAAACAGCACTAGTAGCAGCCACACAGGTACAGCTGCAGCTTTCTTCCCTACTCTGAAGTTGATGCTTTTCATTTCTCAAGTTGTTTTCTCTTTTTCACAATTATTTTTGCTATTCCGTTTTCTTGTTTCCTTACTCTTTCCTACATCTGCAGCTTTTCGTTCTTCTCTATTACTGCCAATTTCTTCCCTACTCTTTGTTTTTGTTCAGTCTGTCCTATACATCTGCTGCTTTGTTCTGCAGTTGCTGCAGGTGCTAATTCTTTTTCGTACTGCTATTTCTTTCTATTCACTAGTCTCCTTCTATGTTTCTCCTATAGAGCACTAGTCTCCTTCTCTGTTTTTGTAAGTAGTTCAGCTCCTCTCACCACAATTTCAGTAGTAGTTCCTATATTTTCAATTAATTTATTTTTTTTCCCTTAATTTTGAATTTTGTATCAATTAGTCCAATTGATGATACTGATTAGGAGTTTTGACATAAAATGGTCACTAAGTTGATTAATTCATTAAGTCAAACATATTTATAAATATGGTCAACATGCTACTCACGTGCACATTCTTTAAAAAAGGAAAAAGAAAAAAAAAAGGGATGACGATTGTAATTAATTACACTAAATCGAGACATAATTATAAATTCAGGTAAAGATTGTGCTAATTGCTATCCTTATAATTTGGCCTAAAAAGAAAACAAAATTGTGTTTGAAACAAAAACAAGGCATGACCAAGCAGCTGATGGGAAGCCAACGACATGAAATAGCGCCAAAATGGATTCATACATGAGAGGGATAGTGGGTGGTTCAGGAGCAAGCTTGTTTGAAGAACTTGGGTTGTACTATATTGGTCCTGTGGATGGTCATAATGTGGAAGACTTGGTTCATATCTTGAATGATGTCAAGTCCCTCCCTGCACCTGGACCTGTTCTCATCCATATTTTAACTGAGAAAGGCAAAGGCTATGCTCCTGCTGAGGTTGCAGCTGACAAGATGCATGGTGCACCTCTCTCTCTTTCTCTCAACACACATTTATTACTTTGAGGATAAAATTGAAAATAAATTAAACTACAAGGATGAAAATAGCACAAAGGACAAAAAAAGTGAAAAATTATGGTTATAGCATGGGGCTAATAAATTGGTGTTGGTTTTTTTTTATAGGTGTGGTGAAGTTTGAACCAAAGTCAGGGAAACAATTGAAGACAAAATCAAAGACAAAGTCATACACCCAATACTTTGCAGAGTCCTTAGTTGTTGAAGGTCAGAGAGATGAGAAAATAGTAGCAATCCATGCAGCAATGGGGGAAGGAACTGGACTGAATCTGTTCCAAAAACATTTTCCAGAGAGATGTTTCGATGTCGAGAGCAAGCTTTTCAATAGTTCCTATATTTTCAATTAAATCAGTATCATTAACTAGTCCCCTTCTCTGTTTAAGGTTCAGGTTTTTTTATTTTTTTATTTTTCCCCTAGTTCAATAAATTCTTGCACTTTCAGCAGAAGTAGATAATAATCTGTTTCATTAAACATAACCTGAAATGGCAACAACAATGGCAATGGATCGGATGCCACATCTTTATCACAACCTGCTTTGAGTTTCCAGAATGTCCGGAAGGACTTCTACCACTCCTAGCCATAATCTGATGCTTTCAATCCTCTACCACTGTTATTTTTTCTGTTTTTGTTTTTATTTTTGTTTTTGTTGATTTTTCAAATTTGTAGGAACCAAATAGAGAAAGAAGCAACTACCTAGCTTAGTTGTAATACTCAAATGTAGGTATCACGCAGGGTAAGAGAGAGTTTCATCTACCAAGTCAATTCTTTGATTTTTCTCACGTGCAATTATTGGGTACCAAAGTATTGTCACGCGGTGCCTTCTTTGATTGAGTTTGGTTTACAGGATAAGGCTTATCGCTTATCCCATTTACATTAATGGTTTGTCTAATAGTATAAAAGGTGGCAATTAATGATTGGTGACGAGTACTATCACATAACAATGTCATGCTATACCCTTTTCTATACCCAATAATTTCTCCTTCTTCGATGTTTTTGTTCAAAGAACTAGGAATGGTTGAAAGCTAAGAGCATCTCCAATAGAGATGTTAACTTTGTGTGTTATATGACAAAAAATTAAAAGTGAGACCAAAACTAAAATAAAAATAAAAAATCAATCCCTATGAAACAAATTGCTTGAAATTTTTTGCACCATAGAATTCTATTAAAACAGAGAATTTCTTTAGCTTTGTAAAATTCAGTATCTTACCGACACTAGATTGAGGGGCTGCCTCCCTCGGTGCCTCCATATCGACATCAAGTGGCTGTGAGTGTTGGGTATCCGCATTGTCATGTAAATCCCCATTTGGAACAACAATTGCCTCGTGCGAAGGTTGAATAGATGACTGCGCCAATCGTTTTGGTGGCATTGGTAAGCCCTAAAAAACATAATACAAAAGCATAAACAATAAATACATAAAAATGGATAAGTAAAGTATACGGAAATCAAAGCATCATTAACAAATATATAGCTATCGGTGATATAATAAAAAAAAATGAATGGCCATACATATAGTACCTCATTGTCAACACTTTCAAAGGACTCAGCATCAGTGTCATCCTCATGATCTGACGGTATATAGTCATCATCATCTACCCTAATGTTCTTTCCTTTCTGATTAACACGATTGGGCTGAGTAGAACCCATCAAAGAAGCTGCTATACGCTTCAATTGTAGAGCATCCATTTTCTTATTATTCTTCTTGATTGTCTTGTATCTTTCCATTTCGTACTCTGTTCGCTTTTGTTTCGCTAGAAAACCTGGTTTGATCCATTGTTTCTCCCCTTTGGCCATTTTGGTAACTAAAAAGCATAAATTGATATAAAACATAAAATATAAGCATAATTTTATTTGAAGAGACGCAACAAAATATAGCATAACCATATAATGCATTAAAAACATATGTCCATATAGAAACCTAGAAAAAACAAAAACTACATATCATAATCCATATCAGGTTCCATATCAGGATCCATATCATCATCAAGTATGCCAAGTTCTTCATCTTCTTCGTCATCTCTACCATCTCTCTTTGTGTTATTTGAAATAACCTTAGCTTCAATATCATCCCTATGAAATCGAATAATATCTTCAATGTTGATCAGGACAACTAAGTTAATGTTTTCTTGTTGGAATGCATCATTAAATTCTGGTTGATCTGGTGGTTCTCCATCACCAACCTCTGGCACATCAAACACCCCTTTATGTTGGACCTGTTGCACGACTTGCCAAGGTTGCCCCCATTTGGTGTCATTCAGGTAGAACACTAGTTTAGCTTGACTAGGCAAGATAAAAGGGTCAGATTGATACCATCGGCTTGTGACATCGATGCTTGTGCAATATGCGTCAGCTCGTACTGTTCTACTTCTACCAGTGTTACCGGTGTTGTACCATTCACATTGAAACAAAACAACTTTATTTTGACACATGTACTCAAATTCCCAAATATTGCACAAGTGACCGTAGAATTTGTGCATCTCTCCCTTGTAGTCCCCTTCGGTAAGCACACCACTATTTTGACTCTTACGACGATTGTCTAATTCCTTCGTATGAAATCTTACACCATTGATTATACAACCCAAGTACTCTTTCACTAGCAAATTAGGACCATTCGCTAATGACCACAATTCTTCGGTTGCTTCTGGTGCCTCATCAACTCTCAATCTATTTATCTACATCCACATGCAATGTGCAACACTTGAATTATGTTAGTAATGTTTGTATGTTATAAAAGCCTAATAGTGTTTGGGCAATTGTGAATATTAAAAATGACGTACATATTCTTTGAACCACTTCAGAAATTCCTTCTGTTGTATCTGAGTTATATCTTGTCCAGTGGGAATTTGTAACAAATTCTTGTGTTCCTTACTCAAATAGTTTTGGTTAATGTGTGAAATACTACTATTATTAATGACTAATAACATGAAAATTGTTAAAATATATATAATTATAAGAAACACGTACTGAAGATACTTCTCTATCTCAGGGCTATTGTATAATAAGAACCAATGAGCAATATCACGAAGTTCCTGTGACATCTCAACATGCTTTCTGATTTGGCCAATAGGATGAGCAGTATCGGTGAATATTATCAAACCTTCACGACGGACTCCATAATCTTCATTTCGTGCATCTCGATTATGCACGGTTTCAATCTCTTCAAGATACATTGAGCAAAAAGTAATGCACTCCTTGACAATGTAAGCCTCTGCAATAGAACCTTCTGGTCGAGCTCGATTGGTGACAAACTTTTTCAAAGCTCCGAGAAACCTTGAAGAGATAACCAATTAGGAGTATGGTTAGGCACACAACATAATCTATACCTTTCATTTGAAAGTACAATTTTAGAAATTACCTTTCAATCGGGTACATCCACCGATATTGCACAGGTCCTCCGAGAATAGTCTCACGTGGCAAGTTAATGGCCAAATGAACCATCACATCGAAGAAGGATGGAGGAAAGATCTTTTCAAACTTACATAGTATGAGTACTATACGTTCCTCTAATTTCTCCATTTCACTTCGTTTCAGTGTCCTTGAGCATAGATCTTGGAAGAAGCTACCTAACTCAAAAAGTGCTGTACTGATCTCTTTATCTACGTAACCACGCATCCTAATAGGAAGAATCCGTTGTATAAGTACATAGCAGTCGTGGCTTTTCAATCCTGTTAATCTACCATTTTTTGCATTCACTGATCTCGAAATATTTGCCGCATACCCATCTGGATACTTGACTGATTTCAAGAATTCAAAGAAACCCTCTCTCTCTTTAGGGGTCAATGAGAAGCTGGCTCGCGGCTTCACATATGATCCATCGGGATTTGTTGTTAGCCACAATTCTTTCCTTATATTCATATCTTCTAAATCCATTCGTGCCTTATCTGTATCCTTGTTCTTCCCATCAATTCCCAACATCGTTCCAAAAACATTTTCACTAAAGTTCTTCTCCACATGCATGACATCAATGTTGTGTCGAAGCCTCCTTTTCTTCCAATACGGTAGCTCATACAAGATGCTTACCTTTGCCCAATTTGGGTTCTGACGAGGTCTTTTCCTGTTACTTGGATGTTTTCCATATGTGACACCCATCACGCTGCCCAATTGTTCTTCAATCTTTTCTATCGGTATCATCAAAGATCTCTTCCGTTTTTCATGCTTGCCATTATATGCTCTACTCTTTCGCCTTTCTGGGTGGTCATCAGGCAAGTAACATCGATGGTTACTATACGCAGTCTTACCTCTTAAAGATTCGAAATATGGTTCATCATTGCAAGTGTAACAAGAGTAATGACCCTTTGTTCTCTATCCAGAAATGTCACCAAATGTGGGTCAATCATGTATCGTCCACAGCAAAGCTGCACGCATGCAGAAAGTCTCACCAGTCGAGGCATCATAGGTTAATGTACCATTTTTCCATAAATCATTCAATTCTTCCACTAAAGGTCTCATGTAGACATCAATATCAATTCCTGGTTGTGTTTCACCAGGAATAAGTAATGACAGCATGAAAAATGGGTCCTTCATAGCCAACCACGGTGGCAAGTTGTATGGAATGAGTACGACAGGTCACAAACTATATGAGTTATTCATATTTTCGAAAGGGTTGAAACCATCAGTAGCCAAACCTAGCCTCACATTCCGAGGCTCCAAGGCAAATTCAGGATGTTGTGTATCGAATTCCTTCCACTCATCACTATCTGCAGGATGCCTCAATACACCGTCATCTAGACGTGTTTCCTTGAACCATTTCATGTCCTCGGCTCTCTTCCTCGACATGTACAACCTTTTCAATCTCGGTGTTAACGGGAAGTATCGAAGAACCTTACGAGAGATCTTCTTACCTCTACCATGATTTGTCTTGTATCTAGAAGCCTTACAATTTGGACATTTATCTAGTGTTGCATTCCCCTTCCAAAAGAGCACACAATCGTTTACACAAGCATCAATGAGCTCGAATGACAAACCCAATTCACGTAGTATTTTTTTAGCTTCATAAGTTGACTTTGGAACCAAATTATCCTTCGGTAAAAGTTTTGTTAAAAACTCTAGCATCATGTCAATTGACTTATTACTTCAATGGTTTGTTACCTTTATATTAAGTATCTCGATGACAAATTTTAACAAAGTGTAATTTGTGCAACCTGGGTACACCTCACGTTTGGCATCATTCAATAATTTATCAAAAGTGCGAACCTCCTCCTCTTGAGTTGTATTAGTTGATTCCCCTCTTATTCGATCTTCCACTAAGGCATCAATACCTCCCAAATCCTCATTGCCCTCAACGAGTATATCATGATGATAAGCCTCATTTGATTCACGGGGTTCCCCATGCACGTGCCAGATAGTGTAAGTTGGAATAATCCCATGTTGCAGCAAATGAATTTGAACAATTTGAAAATTTTGACGAACAACATTCACACACTTTCGACAAGGGCACAAAATTTTACCATCTCGATCGATAACCGCCATTGCAAAACGAAGAAATGATATTACCCCATCATTATATGCCCGACTTATCCTTCCATCAACTGTGCTACGTAATGCAATCCAACTCTTGTCCATGTCTGACTAAGCCGAGCTAATTAAAGTTAGGTGAATAGGACAAATTTTATATAGAAATATATATATATATATTTGTTAATTGAAAAAAATTTCAAGTTGAATGGTTATACTGAGTTATATAAATTACAACCACACATAAATCACGTGAGAAAATAGCTAAAGCAATTTAGCGTAAACAGAAGAAGTATTCATAACCAAACCATAAACCACAGCAAAATAACCATCAATAAGCAGACAAATATCATAATTCAGAGAAAATTTAACCAATAAAGCAGTGAGCTGAGAGTAAAAAGTAGATAACATGACACAGAAAGAAAACCCACAATATGCCACATTGAGTTTCTAAAGCAGTCAATTTAAGTACTCAAATATCCAAATGCAAAATGATATGATTGAACTACACGTATTTGGAAAAATATATAACTATTCTGGCTCACATTTCACTCGGTAAACAAAATGTGATTAAATTCTGCAGAGGAACTTAATAATGTATTTAAGGAGTTATGCATATAAAAAATGAACGATGCCAATAGAACGATGCCAATAGAAATGAACATGCGACAATTCCAATGAATGCTCAAGACTATAATTTACTACTAAGCCTGTTATTGCAGTTAGTACTCTGTTGGATTTTCTCTTTACTCTACTATATACGAAGTCCAGAGAAGTTAAAGCAAGATATGCTAATTTAAGGGTATAATATTCCAATTTTCATTAAATTGATAGTTGTGAGAAAAAAAAATTAATTAATATGTAATATATAATATTTTATCTTATTGATTATTTTAATATTTTTTATGTTTATTGACTATTTTAGCCAAAATCTATCATCCCAAACATATAGACTCAAACTTCCCTAAAAACTTAGAAATGCACATGAGAGAGAGGACTGGGGCCACTGTTTTGTTTAGGAAGTGTTGGATTGGAGATGATAACAGTGAATGATTTGTAAGAAAAAGTTGAAAACCCTTGAAAGAGAGAATAATTCCTTTATGGAGCCAAGGGGCTGTGAACTGTTACTCACTGTTTTAGATAATTCAAAGTATACAGATTTTGGATGCAAAGCTAAGGGTCATAAGCGGCGCAAATAAATTATTTTAGCCAAATAAATAAACTAAAATAAAAATAAAGAAAAAAGATTCACACTCTACCCTATATCAGTACACGATATAATATAGTATAAAAATTATATAAATTTATAAATTTTATAAATATATTGACTTTTTTTCCTGAAGC